TACCCACTTCCCCTCATGGTTTCAGCTTTTGACCTCATTCAGGGGGCCACCATTTTCTCAAAACTTGATTTCAGAAATGCCTACCATTTGGTTCGAATCAGAGAGGGAGATGAGTGGAAAACGGCGTTTAACACGCAAAATGGACACTATGAGTGCCTAGTGATGCCATTTGGTCTCACTAATGCCCCCGCTGTGTTTCAGGCTTTGGTAAATGATGTACTCAGAGACATGATTAATTTGTTGTTTATTTGAACGACCTTCTCATTTTTTCTAAAGACCCACACACTCACCAGAAACATGTTTGTGTAGTATTAACCAGGCTCCTTCAGAATAACTTGTTTGTAAAAGCAGAAAAATGTGAATTTCACCAATCTTCCACTTCATTTCTAGGTTTTGTCGTTGCACCCAATCAGATTCAAATGGACAGTAGCAAGGTCTCTGCAGTGTTAGACTGGCCCATACCCAAGGACAAAAAACAACTGCAGAGATTTTTGGGGTTTGCCAATTTTTATAGGCGATTTATTAAGAACTTCAGCAGTATCGCCAATCCTCTCCACGCACTCACATCATCCACTGCTAAGTTCACATGGACTTATGCCGCTGACTCTGCCTTTCACAAACTCAAAACTTTGTTCTCCTCAGCTCCCATCCTCCACGCCTCTGACCCTGAAAAACCATTTGTTGTAGAGGTAGATGCCTCTGGGGTTGGTGCAGGGGCCATTTTAAGTCAACATGGTGAGGATGGGAAACTTCATTCTTGTGCTTATTTTTCTAAGGGTCTCACTCCTGCTGAACGCAACTACAATGTTGGAGATGGTGAATTACTGGCTGTGAAGCTCGCGTTGGAGGAGTGGAGGCACTGGTTGGAGGGCGCCAAGGTTCCATTTCAGGTTTGGACCGATCATAAAAATCTCGAATATTTTAAATCGGCCAAACTACTAAATCTCAGACAGGCCAGGTGGGCATTATTCTTCGCTCGCTTTGATTTTACCTTGTCTTACAGACCTGGTCATAAAAACATTAAACCTGATGCTCTGTCCAGAGTGATGGAGGACAATTCCCGTCCAATAAACCAAGGAGAGGAATACATCCTTCCCAGTTCTGCCTGCATGGCAATCACCCAGCTAGAAAGAGACCTTCTCCAAGCCAACCAGTTATGCCCTCCACCAGCTGCATGCCCCTCCAACCGGCTATTTGTTCCGCTCGACCGGGTCAATGATGTGTTAAAGTTTTGTCACTCTTCTCACCTGTTTTGCCATCCTGGCATTGCTAAAACGCTTGCCCTAGTTCGAGCCCAGTTTTGGTGGCCTACACTGTATCAAAATGTAAAGACTTATGTACTCTCCTGCCATGTTTGTAATCAGACTAAAGACTTCACAGCGTCCCCCTTCCGGTTTGCTTCACCCTCTTCCCATTCCCTCTCGTCCATGGTCCCATATTAGTTTAGATTTTATCACTGGTCTTCCCCCCTCAGCTGGCAATACTGTTATTTTGACTGTCACTGATCGTTTCTCCAAACAGGTTCACTTGGTCCCCCTTCCTAAACTCCCCACATCCAAAGAACTCGCCTCTGTCATGGCCTGTGAAGTCTTTTGACTCCACGGGCTACCCACCAATATAGTTTCTGACAGAGGCCCACAGTTTGTTTCCAAGTTCTGGAAGGGGTTTTGCGACCTCTTGGGGGTATCCATCAGTCTCTCGTCTGGGTTCCATCCCCAAACGGATGGCCAGATGGAGAGGGCCAACCAGGAGGTCGAGACCAAGCTGAGGGGCCTCTGTCAGAAAGACCCCAGTAAGTGGTCCTCCAATCTCCCCTGGGTGGAACATGCTTTGAACTCCGTCCCCTCCTCTGCCACTGGTCTGTCCCCGTTTTTTTTTTTGTTGTATCTGGTTTTCAACCCCCTCTGTTTTCTTTTCAGGAGCGCGAGACTCGAGTTCCCTCTGCCCTTAAGTCAGCCCTTTGTTGTAAATGCACCTGGTGGAGAGCCAGGAAGGCACTCCTGGAGATCTCCGCAGCCTACGTTAAAGGGGCCAATCGACGGAGGTCTCAACAACCTCTTTATCAGGAGGGTCAGAGGGTTTGGCTCTCCACCAAGGACCTGCCCCTTAAGCTCGAATCTTGCAAACTCGCCCCCCAATTCATTGGTCCATTCCCCATTTCCAAAGTTTTCAATCCAGTTTCTGTTCGCCTCCCCAAGTCACTGCGTATTCACTCATCTTTCCATGTATCCCGTAAAAAGCCCTTTACCCAGTCCCAGTTCCACCCAGCACCTGATTCCCCCCTCCCGCCCGTCTGATTGATGGGGCCCCCGCCTACTCAGTGCAATGCCTCTTCCGGTCCAAGAGATGGGGGCGCGGTCTTCTCTACCTGGTAGACTGGGAGGGATACGGCCCGGAGGAGCGCTCTTGGGTTCCAGCCCGTAACATCCTGGACCGCAGCCTCATCCGGGATTTTCACAGACGGCATCCGGACCAACCAGGTGGCACGTCTGGAGCCGTGCCTTGAGGTGGGGATCTGTCACAATGCACACTTTAATCTTTGCTAAAACACTCTTTTCACTGCTTGGGTTCTAGTGCTCTCTATGTTTCATTTGGTTTCTGTCAGCTCTGCTTCCTATCTGCAGCTTTCTGTCTGTCACATGTCCTCTCACTGCAGCTTGTTAGTGTTCATGGGAAACACCTGTGCTCTGGTGCTTAAAAGCTTCTCTCCCTCACAGTCTGGTGCCAGAATATCGAAAACCTTTGAGTAGTCTTCCAGCATTTCTCTCTAGTATCCTGATCTTGTTCACAGTCTCCTGCCTGCCCCTCGACTTCTGATTTTTGTCTTGCCCCTTTTGTACCTCTGCTTATCTGCCTTTTTGCTTCCTTTACCTGCTTGTTTTTGGACTCGGAGTTTTTGCCTTGCTCTTTGGTACTGTCGTCTTTATCAGATCCTGTTGCCAACCTTGTTTCTGCCCACGACTCTGCCTCTGGATCGCCCATCCAAGACCACCGACGTACACTGCCCCTCGGTGACGTTTCAGCGCTGTTCAGTGCTCTGCCCCGGCCCATTGAGACTTACAAGACCCAGCGCCGGCTCCTTGTCTTCCAACACCAGCCGAGAGTGGCAGCTCTTTGTTTATTTAATAAACCTTTTTAAACTGCTCTGGATTCTTGTGGTTCTGATCCAACCTTAATCATTACAGTATGCTGTTCAGTGTCAGGAGGGCTGTGATCAATCTTACATCGGGGAAACTAAACAGCCACTGGCCAAAAGGATGGCCCAGCACAGAAGAGCAACAACATCAGGCCAGGACTCTGCAGTCTACACTCATCTCCAGGCCAGCGGTCACTCTTTCAGGGATGAAGATGTTCACATCCTGGATAGAGAGGAACGGTGGTTTGAGAGAGGAATAAAGGAGGCCATCTTTGAGAAAGAAATAGTCCATCATTAAATAGGGTGGAGGCCTCTGTGTTCAACTGTCCCACTCTTACAATGCTGTTATTGCTAGTATCAATCAGCCCTCTGTGAATAGTAAACAGCCATCAGTGTGCTAATGATGCATTGTTAGGCTGATGGTCCTTCTTGATCATGTGAGCAGCTGGTTTTGGTTGTCGGCAGCAAAACTGGTTGATCCACTCTGAGAAGGTGCTATTTATAAGACTGAGCTGAATACAGCACCTCAGACTGAGGAAGTCTTTCGGATGAAAGACGAAACGTTTCTACATTTTTTGTTGTTGTTGCTTTGTTTGGTTTTTGAATGTCCAGAGGACCAGGTTTAACATTTTTAGATCTTTTAAGAATAGTTTGTAAGACACAGGGTCTAGATCATGGGATTGCAGGAATGAGTTAGCCCACCGGAATGCGTTACCTTTAATTTGGCTGGTGAACTGTGATCTTTGCAATATTTGACATGCAGAGTAGAGGGGCCCCATTGAATGTAAGTTTACATTGGATGAGGAATCCTCCAAATAGTCAGGATCTCCCGAGAAGAACTCAGAAAGTTTTATGATTACATGTTGAGTGATGATGTTCGACTCGGGAGTCATATTGGAGGGACTTGGGGTCGGTGGAATGGTGGAAACTGTAGGAGGAGAAGGCAAAAGTATCTGATTAATAGCATAAACCATACCTCCAAGTTCCTGCATGTTGGACTGGGCTCCTTGTTGCTGGGCCAAGATTTGCTGTAGCATCTCTTCTAATTTGTCAATGCGTTCCACCTGTGAGGCAGATGGGAGCTTGCTCACTCCTGGTCTCGTTCTGGGTCCTGTTTGGCTGGAGCATTTCTATTATGATTCGAGGAACCCAGATTGGTACAAGACCCAGAAACCAGACAAGACTCAGAATAGAAAAGGAACAGTGTAGAACTGTAATTTCTAACCCAAACCTGGAGCCCAGAGCCCGGCCCCGCCTGACCCAGATTCGAACCTGGCTTGGCCATAATATTGTGCTTAATGTGACATGTCAGAGCAGGGTCCAATGCAGGCAGAAGCAGGGGAAGCATGTAATGTGCATTGTCGGCTCCTCAGCTCCGATCTTCTGCCCCCTTTACTCAACCACACATCTGCCAGCAGTCGGTGATATACGCAGTCAAAGCTTAATTAAAAATGTTGGGGGAGGGGTTTTGGGTTCGGACCTGTAATTACTGTTAATTGGTTGTATCGGGTGGGGTGCGGAGATGATGGCTGCGGCTGGGGCCAGGTCAGTTCGGATTTTTTGAACCCGAATGTAACTCTAGAACAGTGTTTATTATTTACAGTGCAGTAATATATACAGATGATCTGCTGGAGCTCCTGAGAAAGAAAGAAGAGGGTTAGGTGAGTCTGGATTAAGAATTTGAATGATTGATATTGATCCGGTTGTATTTCTCTTACAGGATGGAATGTAGTGGTGTGGCACAGAGTTGAATCCAAAAATAGCTCCAGAGATGAGGAACCAGGCAGGGCAGACAAGGCAGGCAGGACAGGCAAGTGGCTGGAATGCAAGGCACGAGGAATGAGGAACAGGACCGAGGAAGAACCAGAATGAGATGGGACCCAAGGAGGCAGGATAGCTGTAGACACAAGGATATGGTAAGTACTTTGTATCTTAAAATACTCAACAACACTGGCTGGAGGCATAAATACCATAAAAGGCTTAATGCACCAGTGAAGAGTAGCACTTGACTGCAGCCTTGATCTCATCAGGTATACGGCCGACAGCTGGTGGTAATTGGCGGCCATCTTGGAGCAGGGAACTGCAGTCAGTGGTACTGTCATTCCCTGATCTGTTACAACAACCTTACAGTCTTCAATCTCCCTCAGGTTTCCTCTTCTGTACAGAATGTAGTCGACTTGCGTACTCCTTCCTCCACTTTTATTGATCACTCTATGTCCCTCCCTCTTTTGGAAAAAAGTGTTGACTACAGCCATTTCCATTCTCTTGGCAAAATCCACCACCATCTGTCTTTTCTAGTTTCTTTCCTTGACAAAAAACCTACCTATCACTTCCTCATCCCCTCTGTTTCCTTTACCAACCTGTCTATTCAGGTCTGCTCTGACTGCCACTCTTTCCTCCCTATCACTTCATCCAGATCCTTCTAAAATGTATCTTTATCCTCCCCATCACATCCAACCTGTGGAGCATAACCACTGACAATGTTTAGCATCAGACCTTCTACTTCTACCTTCAGGCACATCACCCTATCTGACACTCTTTTCACCTCTACTACATTCTTTGCTAACTCCTCCTTCAGGATCACCCCTACTCTATTTCTCTTTCTATCCGCATCATGATAAAACAGGTTAAATCCTGCTCCAATGCTGCGAGCCTTTCTGCCCTTTCACTCGGTCTCTTGAACACATAAAACATCTACCTTCCTTATCTGCATCATGTCAGCCAGCTCTCTACCTTCGCCTTTCATTGTCCCCACATTTAGAGTTGCAACCCTCAGTCCTACATTCTTGACTTTCCTCTTCTTCTGTCTTCTGACACATTTCCCTCCTTGTGGTCTTCGACTAACAGTAGCACAATATCCACTGGCACAGTATGTCAGCAGCACCGACGGCGGTCATTGTTAACCTGGGCCTCGACCAATCCAGTATGGTATCACTTTGATGAACTTGGATTATGGTTTTGGGAAAAGTATTTTACATTGGATGCCCTTCCTGACACAACCCTCACCATTTACCTGGGCTTGGGCCCGTCAAAAGATTTGCACAGGCTTGTGCTCCCATTGGCTGGTTTATCGATGTGAATAAAATCAATTCAAAATAGGTTAAATGTGAAAGTTAGTGCACTTTATTCAGAAAATCCACATCACATCTACATTTCGGGATCTGTTTATTGTAGACAGATTAAATGTTAAATATGAATATATCTGTTTATCACCACAGTAGTGTTGCACACGTTAGTAGTAAACACTCAAAAGAATACAGACAGTAGGCCTACATTGCACCAAAGTTTATGCTCAGTAATCCAGGTAAAAATCATCATTGTTCAGTCAGGTCATCTGGATGGTTTCTTTCTGAGCAGCCACCAAACAAACTAAGTCCCACAAACGGCATACTCCCATAGTGGAAAAACACAGTTTGCTGTTGATAAGAATTCTCCCGGGACCTGCCCTCTCCCCCGTCAACTCTGAGACAGTCATGCCAAAGTGGTTCAAATCACCAAAGTTCACTCGTTATATTATGTTGGTTTATCGTTTACCTACAGTATAACCTAAACATTTAAGGAGTAAACATTTTTAATAATCACATTAAAAGTTACAAATGTTGTATTTTGTGTCTGTTTTCAAAATATATTAGTTTGTGAATGACAGGCATTATCTTAAAACACTTTGTGGAACGGTGCTTTGTCAAGTTCAGTCCATATCCTATAGACCGGCAGATCTGCCCCATCCAATATGGCAGACGCTCTGACGTCCTGCTGCAGCGGACCATTCTGCTCAGCGAGGGGTATACGAGCTGAGGAGCTTCTGATCACAAGCTCGCCTTCTATAATCTTGGCGCCACCACTCCTCATATAACATTGTTTTATGGATTTTGTAAATAAATATATATATA